TTCAAGATAAATCTAATGACCAAAAAACAATCTGCCTTTATTTCTCAAAACAATAACTTTGACCTCAGATTCTGAAACTGACAGGGTGACTTTACTCTCTGAGCAAATATAATACAGAAAATTTTTAAGGGAAGCAGATATACCAAATACCCAGGTGATTCATTTTTTATTAAAATTTAAAGTCAAAATAACCAACATTACTACAGGGATGTATTAAAGCAAATATAACTACTAAGATTTTTGTCCTTAAGAGATAAAGATAATTAAGATAAATATAATGGCTCTATTTCTCTTTAATGTGTTCTTTATATATTAGTTACCTGCTTGAAACTCTATCTACACACACACACACACACACACACACACACACCTATATATTCAAAATTATTTTTAGTTAATAATGACAAATTAAATTTATTTAATCTTATCTGTATTTTTTACATTAAGAGATTAAACAAAGATCAAGGTCAGCATCAACCCACATTAAACTAAATTGATACATGTAAGAGATTTCTCCTGAAATACAGTGAGAAGATAATTGGAAATTTAAAAAAAAAATTATAAACTGTACTAAAAATATTTTCAGACAATATTAAAGTAGATGCCATTCATATTTTAGATTTAAGAAATTACTCTTTGACTTATATTCACTGAAACTATTCAGAACAAAAATAACAATTATGGTGCTAAACCATGCATCTCAAACATATTTATACCTCTTCATATTTAGACTTCATAGGTATATACTTATTCATTCAAGAAATGAGTGTTAATCATTATTTTGATACCAGAAAATAAAATCATTTGTAGGCCAAAAGTTATAAAAGGATAACTTATAATTCAATCCACAATTCTAAGGCAGAATCGAAATAAGGTCCTTATCAGAAGATTTTCTTGGGATTGGCAGTTGTTAATTGACATTTGTTTCTACTATGTAATGGTGATTGGTGTGCAACCTTTTATAGCTAAAATAGGGATTGATGGAAAGAAAATGTATGTGTACCTCCTTAATGCAGCAGTATGAAAGCCCATAAAAGAATAATTCACAAACCCAAACACAAGGAGGGAGAGAGAAAGGGAGGAAAGTTATTTTTTTGCTTCCCTTGAGCAAACATGTAATTTCCATGATTTCTTTTTAATGACTGCGGTCTGCGGCCAGTAGGCACTGATTTATGAAAAGCTGTAAAAGATCAGGTGGAACTCTGTAGGACATCGTTTACAGCTGCACGGATTGAAACCTATCTAATTTGTCTAGTAAAAGTGTGAGCTCACGGTGCACATCACCCGGCCTATAAATTTCCCCTTCAGACCTAACGTCTGGGGCTGGGTCTAAAAAAATCACAAGGCTCGCAGCTGCTCAAAAGCCCAGATTCCCTTGGTGCGCATGAAGAGACATCACAGGCTCTTCACAGTGAGAGACAAATTCCTATCCATTGATAAACTCTCCAGATGTCCTCTCAGAGGAGGAAAGGAACCAATTTTTATTCGAAATCCCCAGAGAAATCCTGGAAGTGGAAAAATGATACTTTGCGGGGCTGGTTATTCTGAGGTCACTGGCATTAACTTAGGTCATTTTTTTTGTCTTGGTTGTACTTTGATCCAAGTCATAAACAGAAAAACTCAGTTGGGGTCACTCTAATCCCTAATCCGCACGTCCTGTTCTATTTCAATTTGTTTATACTAATTTTCTCCAAACTCTTGTTGAGCCTGGCTGAAGTGTTGAGTTTAAAAATACAGACCATTTTGAGTTAAGAAGAAAACATTATGCATTTTGTTATTAGGCACACTTCATAAATATTCTGAATAAATGTCCTGGGGTTTGATTCTTTGTACCCACAAACCCATAAATAAAAAAGTATTACTATTCTTGGGACTAAGAGTAGACATTTGGTTCTGTTAATACAGCTACTGTTGACATAGAAACTGTGATGAGTGTGTGTGTGTGTGTGTGTGTGTGTGTGTGTGTGCGCGCGCGCGCGCGAGTGCGCGCGTGCAAGTGTGCCTGCTCGCCTGTGGATTTTAGTATCCTATTGTTTCATTTCTTGACATCACTTCATTATTCTTGTAAAATTTTCTAACACTTTATTTAATACTATTTCTATCAACTTCAATTACTGTTTCAATGACTTATCTAAAGAGCTTGATATTATATCTACTGTTTGCTAGTGACAAAAGCTTTTTCACTTATGGTAGCTATCCTAAAACAATCAGAGAATAGTTTGTAAGTTTTGGAACTTGGATTGAATATTTATATTTGTAATTCTTGAAGTGTTTCAGAAAATAACAAAAGATAAAAAACGTTTAACTACAAAAAATGAATTTACTTTGACTCTTTTATAGATGAATAATTTAGAAAATCATAGAAAATTACTCATAAATATTTCAGAAAGGAATAATTTTTTAAATGTCATATTTTATAGTTTCTTGGGCAGCACTAAAGAAAAGGAGATTAATACTCTTTAAAATATTCCTGATTTTTATCTGCTTTTTAGATAACCTCTTAAAGTTAGTTAAAACTAAATCACATCACGTAAATATAAATTATTGACTCTATAGTTAAATTTTTAAATTTATAATTTAAATACAATATAGAAGAAACTCAGTTGTCAAGATTAGTATAAAGAGAGAGAAGATAGAAAAATCCTTGACTTTCAAATCTCCTTCAGTTTACAAATGATCAGGATAGGGGAAGAAATAGCTATTGATCTTTATTTTTCACAGAATATGGAAATAGCAACAGAACCAAAATGCAATTTTACCATTTTTTCCCTTAAACTCCACATTAAAATCTGACCATTTTAATATAATAATTTTAATGCATCCCCATAAATACCTAGATGTGCAGTCAATTTACAAGTTCTCATGTGCTCTGGACAATAGCATGCAGATTTAGAGCATGATCTAAAAATCATAATGTACCTTCCCAATTATAAAGTAGAGATTAGGCTGTGATGCATCTAGTTGAAATGCTAATAATATTTTATTACAATAATGGACACTGAAATGCCAGAAAGCAGGATAGCACATCCATTTACAAACACTAGCTATGGAATCATTGTGAGCTTATAAAAGTTATTGATTTTTCTAATGAGGGCCCTAACAATGCCAATTTGACAGGGTTGTTGCACTATGTGTACATATTATGTGATAAACTTCTAGTTACTCAAAGTGGTAATTAACAAGGTCACTGCATTCCTAGTATTTGACATACAGTGGCATTTACTACATAATGTACTTTTAAAAAGTTTAGAAATATAAACCATTTAATTGAGTTTGTTACCTTAAGTTGGAATAATGAACAGCTAACAGAGCATGCTCAGTATAAGGCAGCATCACTGTAAGTATGGCCTACATGTGCTCCTTTAATCTACAATTGTGGAAAACCTGTATTATTTCCAACATCACCATTTTACAGTTGAGAAAACTAAAGATAAAAAGCCTTCAGAATCACACAGGTGTCATGCCCAGGATTCATCTCAGGCCTTAGGGTTCCAGTATCTATTCAATGAACTACAATACTTCATGGCATGTAAAAGTCAAAGAGGCCACATCATGGAATCATAGAAAGCTCAAGAGGAGACAGGGTACATGCAATATAAACAATGTTTCACCTGAATGGCACAGCATAGTGGTTAAAAGTATGGGCTCTGCTATAAAATAACATATGTGTAAATCCTGATTCTGCCTCTTTTGCCTGAAGAAACCTATATTATAATTTTTATTTTCTGCTTCCACATCTAACATAAGGTGGCTAGAATTATTGTCTAACTAATATTGAAGAGGATAAGGTCCTTCACATCTGTAATGTGCTTAGCTTAGTACTGAGCACATTAAAAAGGACTGGGGATGTGGCTCAGTGATTCAGTGTCCCTGGGTTCAATCCCCAGTACAAAAAAAAAGAGGGTGGGGAGAGATGGGGGGGGCTCTTAATAGCTACTTTGTGTTCACATTCTCTTCCTTAAGAGAAAAAAAAATACACAAAGTGTGAGGTCAATAAATTGTCTACTCAATAACTGTCCTGAGTCTTATAAGTTAAAGGACAATTAAAAAGGTCACAGAAAGCGGAAAAAAAAAATACCCGAAGGGAGTTCACTAGCAGGCTGCTTTTCCTGGCTTTTCAGGGTTACAGATAGTCTTCTCCATTTCCTTTATGTCATTTCTGCTTTTTTGATGCAACAGATCTCACAAGTGTTCATGGGTCTTGTGATCAGACCTGTCATTACATAGAACAACTCTAGAAGTCTCTCTTCTTAATGCTGATTTTATTACACAATATAAATCATAATCACAATTTATATCTATTTATATATCTCTGCATATATATCTAGATATAAATATATACACACATATACATATATACCATACATCATATCATATAATATTCATTTTGTGTTGTCAACTATGTATTTCATTTATTATTGCTTATCTACTGCTTTTCTACTTTTTTTTTTGCAATTTATCCATTATTGACATTTGTAACATTATTTATATCTGTACTGAATTTATGTTCCACTCTAGTGTAGCTTAGATTGTTCAAACACTGTTTTTAAACAGCAACCTGTACGAGGTCCACAGTAAACATTCAGAGGACAGGATTTAATATTGAAACAACTCAACCTATCAGTAAGACTGAAAGCAAAGAATTTCTTGTCTTGTGTATGCTCTAACTGTATCCTAAATTATACCCTTTTGTTAATGATTAAACAAACTGAATTATTAAAAAATGAATGGGTATATTTATGCCTTTCACTGGCAAAGCTTCAGTGATTTCAAAAGCAGTCATGAGTCCAGAGGGGAGCACTTAGACAGGATGATTACACAGTCTTCTCCCAGGCTGCCAGCTTGAACAGATGAAGCCTTCATGGCAGATCAATTCCACAAATAAACAGGAACACCACGTGAGATCTGGAAGTTCCTGCTGATGATGGTGTTAAATTTTGACACATGGCAACTCTGCTGAGTCCTGATCTCTCTCCCTTTGGTATTTTCTTTTCTCACAGGCCATCAAACCTTCTTCTGGACCAAAGCAATGTGGACATCACTACCTTCCGCACGACAGGTGACTGGCTTAATGGAGTCCGGACAGCACACTGCAAGGAAATCTTCACAGGCGTGGAGTACAGTTCTTGTGACACCATAGCCAAGATTTCCACAGAGTAAGAAATATTTATTAAGAAGGATGAATGATTATGAACTTTCTGCTGAACACACCTGTTTTGGATTAGTGTGTTATAAACATAGCTTATACCTCTGAAGTACAAGCCCAGTGTCTCCTGTATGTACTGGGCTGGTCCCTGGACCTTCTTGTGACCTTTCTAGATTAATATGTGATGAGGATTCTTCCTTTCATGAGTGAGCCCCAGGACAGGTGACTGCTTGGTACTCTGATGTTTATATAAACCCATGAACCCAAGCTCTTATTTTAAAGTATAGACAACATAGCATGATGGTTTTTATATAATAATAATGTTGTTATTTTTACATAAATAAATCCATTTTAATGTGCTATATTTCTGAGACAGCGATCATTTGGTATCAGGAATCTTTTGATATAAGAAACTCCTGGATTTAAGCAAAGGGGATTTGTATAGAATTTAGTGAATCCAGTGAGTAATCATAAAAATTTGTCATCACTCACAAGATGTGGTAATTGGACACTTGAGAAAGTAAAGAGCTGAGAAAGTTCCATCCTTCATATCTACATGAATGAGGGCCAGTTTACTTCATTTCCTAACGTGACTGCATCATTTTTTTTTCTTTTTGTTGCTCAGTAACTTTTCCTATTTTCTATGCACAAAGCTAACAGTGGCTTTCTCTACTCTAAGTCATACTGTCATTCAACTGGCCAGGGAATAACTGTAAATTCTGAGTCCCCAGGAAAGAATCCAGGACTGGCTTACTTTCACTTGTAGATTGGAACCTTCAAAGTAATATATTTGTGGTTTTTTGTCAGTTTTATTCCAAATAAGAAATATGAGATGTCGTGGACCTGTTTCTAGTAGGCGCCCTTTCTTGAAGGCAAGATGGAGAAATGTCCCCCACAAAAGAGGTTCATACTTGGCAGATACACCAAAAGTTGTTCAGTATGTTGCTGCTTGCACAGTCTGTTGGGAAACTAGGTTCATCTTTCTACAGTCTTCCCGTCTTTGCTTTGGTCCATTAACAAAACCCATTAGACCTCTCAAGTTTCCTCAAATTTATCTTTTCCAAATAATACTTGAATATTTAAATGTTATTGAACATATACAGATTTCTATCATCACGTTGTCAACCATTTAAACAGTGACTGTGCTCAACAACAGATTAGATGTCAAAAATCAATATGTAATTTAAACATACAGGTACAAGTGCCCAAAAATTAGCGTATAATTTATGCTATGATATTTCCATCAGAAACATATAAAACCACAAAAATATCTACAGGAAGGGTTTATTACTATTGAAGAGGGGGAAATAAACTCAGAATATAAACTCATGTTAATCTATTTACCATGCTTCGGAGTTCCTGTTTAAAGTGGAAGGTAATGTTTGTTGAATATAATTCTGACCCAATCAACAATAGACTTTGAATTTCTGTATTTTGATCAGACACAGTCCCAAGATATATTCACCCGTTTGAACATTTTTATAAATTCTTATTATAGTAACATAAACAGTTAGGGTTATGATATACAAGACATCTGCTTTAGAGCACAGAAGCATAACAAAGAATAAGCACAAAGTTGAATATTTGCACACCATTGCCAGATTTTCAAAGGCAAAGTTATGCAAATGTTTATTATAAAAAAATACCAACACTCAGAGCTTTTAGATAATGAAACACTATATTGAAGTGGATGAGGCAGAACACTGTTAATAAGATTAACTGCTAGTTCATAATTTACATAGAGTCAGCATTATAAGCTGTGGCTGTGGTAAGAAAGCTATTTGCTCAAAAAAGATGCAATGGTAGCATTTGTTATACTTCTAAGTGAGTGACATACTTATGTCAACAGTACAGTGTTGGATGTTAAACTCTTTTTGGCTGTGTAGAATATTTCTCTTCATTGCTACTTGTGTTTGAACAATCTACAAATAAATGTTCAAGCTGAAAGCTGATTTTTCTGGAAAGACTAGGCTCTTGTGGGTTTCTTCTTCATACTGAGCAGATGTCTCAGATTTTTCTGTATTTAGAATAGTGTTAGATTCCCATGTATTTCCCTGAAACTCCTCAAAAGGAATTGTTTTCTTCCTTAAGTCACCACAATGTTGTGTTCCTCATGCTCCTATTTTATATTACAGAAGTGAGTATTTGTGAAAGTTCTTTATACACTGATATTTGAGGTAAATCTAATCAGGCAACATTTTCACCTTAAATCTTATAAATAAACAATTTAATGAGATATTCTTTCCTTTTGTAGCCTTGGACTTACAGTTGTAACTTGATTACTTCAATCTCTGTTTTCTTTGGGCCATACAGACTCAATTCTGAAATGCTTCTGAAACTTCCCAAAATGACTCCCTTGAACAAATAACTCTAGAGATTCTCCTAAAGAGTTTCCTAAGATGAATATTGCATTTCTTTTGCTTTTTTCCCATTTAGATGATGAAATCACAGAGAAAGGTCAATGGAGTTTTGCCCTCCAAGAAATATTTATATATTCTAATTAATTTAGGGATTTCATTAAAATGCAAATTACTCATCTACCTTTCAAATAAAGCTCAAAATGTATGCAGTTTTATTCAATAAACATATTTTAAGGTATTTTTTCATAGTGTTAAATGAATTTAGGAAGGTCAAAATGAGCAGGGAAGAGAGAAAAGGAAAGGGAGAGGGACAACAGCTGTGGAAAACTAAAAGAGAATCAAGTGTTGGAATGAAGACCAGATAAATTGCTTTCTGCTCTTACTCTGCACCCTATAATGCCATTTTCCAAGTGTGGTCCCCTGACCCTTTGTCTCTGAAGTTCCAGATAACAAATTAACCTCTGGTCTCAGTCTTTATCTGCTCCACAGTCTTCAACTTTTTCATCCTTCTTCTGAATAGGATCACACAAAAGAGGAGAGCCAACATGGCATGTTATTGAGACTTCTGGTTAGCTAGGTATTCAGGATGATTTTGGACACGGCAGAATGGAGGGTAGAAAATATATTATAGCAAGCAACAGAAACAGTAGAGGGTACAAGAAAATCAACAAAGGGATAACTAAAAGGAATAGTTTATTTAATTATATTTTTCAAGGTCTAATACAATCTTATTTTTTTAATGGTGCTGGGGATAAAATCTGGGACCTCAGGTATAACAGGCAAGCACTCTATCACTGAGCCACATCCCTTGATCAAGACCCAATACAATCTTTTGCACTAAACATTTAAAAAATATAGATCTGTTTGCTGATTGTGGGTTCCTGGACAGAGTCTTAGAGTCTTATGCAGACAATTTCCCGAGGAGCATGTTTGAGAGATGTATCTGTGAAGAAGTGGTGAAGTCAGTTTCAAATTAAACTGTAAACTCTCTGCATCAGATTTTTTTCCCCACTACTTGAAGATGAATATTGTAGTTTAGAAGGGAAGATTAGGACCAAGCATCATGACATGTATTATAAGTCACCATGCTCAAATTTTCCAGGGTTCAGATTATTAGCTTGGTATATTTCAATATTTTTCTGCTTTCCATATTGTCATTTATTCTTTAATAAAGAAAACCAATCAGAAAGAAAGGCTATCAGTTTGCTACATGGTAATAAAGCCTTTGGGATAAAATAAGAAAGAACAGAGTGTAGGAAGTGCAGACGCAAGTGCAGGGAGAATTTATAATATGTCTTAAGATGGGCAAGAAAGTCCTTATTAGAGGCTGAGATTTGAGTAAAGACCTCAAAGATATGTTTATATGAAAAACATATTGGGGCAGGAATAAGTAGTTCATAATATACACATTTAGCTAAGTCTTTTATTCCTTAAATGAAATTCCTTACGTTTTTGTAGACTTTTAGTACCCAATTTCTGAATTAAAACTTTAAAATTTAATAGAGATGTGCTTGTTATTTTTTTTATTTCAAAATGATTGTATAAAGAGATTTTTCCAGATATCTATAGCTGTACACACTAAAAGGCTAAAAGAACAGCAATTTTATCATGCATCCCGGCATCGTGAGTGTGAATTTGGACAGAGGTTAGGTGCTCTCGCTTTGGTGTTGATGTCAGCATTTAGCAGATGAATGAATTGATCTTGTCTGGGGAGATGGAGGCTGAATTCAGATGTCTGCCTTTGTTTACAAGAGTATACAGCAGGCCTCTGTAATGACTGTAGGTCAAGTGTTTGTACATGGCCTCTCTTGTGCCCTGGTCTCAGGATAGTCAGACTTACATAGCAGCTCTGTGGTCATGAGAATTTTTGCAGAGATAAAAAGTGGAGGAGGGGCTGGGGATGTGGCTCAAGTGGTAACTCGCTTGCCTGGCATGCTCGGGGCCCTGGGTTCGATTCTCAGCACCACATAAAAATAAAGATGTCCACCGAAAACTGAAAAATAAATACTAAAAAATTCTCTCTCTCTCTCTCTCTCTCTCTCTCTCTCTCTCTCTCTCTCTCTTTCTCTCTCTCTCTCTCTCTTAAAAAAAAAGTGGAGGACTACTTCAATTTCTTAAGACCAAAGTACAAATACCGATACAATTTCACTTCTGACTTCTAACCTGTGATACATAAAGCAGTCCCAGAGGTGACCCTCATTTAGGCAAGGTGGATAAAACCCCAGAAAGCATGTGTGACCTTCTGTATTAGTTGGGCTTATACATTAAAAAAAAATAGTTGGGCTGCAATTACAAATTATCATGCTGGCTTGAACAACAGAAACTCATTCTCTAATAATTCTGGAGGCAGAAATCTGAAATCAAAATATCAGCAAGAATACATGCGCTCCAAAGTCTCTAGGGGAGAATCCTTCCTTGGTTTTCCAGCTTCACCTGAATTCTGATGGTCTTGCTTTGTTGAAATATAACTCCAATCTCTGTCTCCAATTTTATATAACTTTCCTTTCTCTGTCATTGTGTCCTTTTTTAAAAATCTCTTATAGGAAAACTCTCCCTGCATTAAGTATTCATGTTAGTCCTGTAAGATATCATTTTGATCCTTGTTTTAATTACATCTACAAAGAGCCTACTTCCAATTAAGGTCACAGTGTCAAGTTCCGAGTTGACAGAAATTTTATGAAAACACCATTTAACTCACCACACTGTCTATATTCTACCACAAGATGCAGATAAAATAGTCAAGACATAACACAGGATGAGATAAAATCAGAAATTTAGGTTCAAAGTACTAGGATATATAATTGTGTGAGTTATGCTAATTAAAAATCTCCTGTTTATATATACTATCCAAGAAATCATGATTCTCATCAGATTTTTTTTTTTTTTTTACAGAGACATGAAAAAGGTTGGTGTTACTGTGGTGGGGCCACAGAAGAAGATCATCAGTAGCATTAAAGCTCTAGAAACTCAATCCAAGAATGGCCCAGTTCCAGTGTGAAGAACTTCTTCTGAAGAAGCCCATGGAAGATGTGACATCACTCTATAGACATATGAGAATGCTGGAGATGCCAGTGGAAGTTCTTTGTCCAATAAGACACTCTTATACGAGTACAAATGCCTTAAAATGGAATTGAAAAACTCTTTATTTTCCCCTATCATTTAGTGAATGGGTGGGTGGGTATATTTTGATTTGATAATTGCTTTTCTGAATATTAGTTGATAGATTACATTTAAATTCTTCAGTGCAAATTGGTGAAGAACTAGCATAGAGCCATTGATCATAAACTGACTATCACAAAAGCAAAACAAGTAAAATAACAAAATGGACATGATGGCTTCATTTATGAATAGCCACAAAAGAAAAGACTTGTGATATTTTTTTACACAGAAGAACTCTGTAACAGGTATTTTGTTTCTTTAAAAACAAGCAAAATAGAGGAGTTTATACCTCAAACTATCTGGCCATATTTACTACCTTATCATCGTATTATTCTCTTTTATCTGTTGAAAGCATATAGAGAAGAATTTTGTAGTTGTTTTAAGTACTATACATTTTAATTGTTAGTATCTTTAAGTGTATCATGTAAAAATGTGTCTTAATTTTTGAAAAAAAGTATGTATTTATTTTCTTTTGAATTGTCTTTATTGTTTTATATTTATGCCTTGATGATTTAATTTGGATTTGTTACAGCCAAGTGCCAAATGCTCTCTCAAACTGTCAGCAGTAGAAAACTTGCTTAACAAGACACAGAGAATGAAGGGTTTCTTTTCAGATATTCTGAGCCATCCACTCATATCTATTAAAAAAAAAATGTAACACTTGTCCTGTTCATTCAGTAACCAAATTTCTCACTGTCTGAATTATCCCATTCATTTTTGTCTCTCCATTTATTATAAACCATATGCTCCTAATTTAGTACATACTGGCTTGCATGTAATAGAATTTTAACCAGACATTCCTTTCCTGCTCTGATGCTCAGAAGCCATCAGCTCCTTCCATTCATGAAGGAGCCATGTTAGAGCTCAGAGAATAGCTACACTGGAAAGACCGGAAATGCTATTTAGATTGTTGCTTTAATTGACAACACAGCCAAATGGCCAATGCATGAATGAAAAAATCACTTACTGACTTTGAAAAGTCACTTAGTATCTTTGCTTAAATTTGATGGAATTGATGATAATTAAACTGCACATCTGTATCACTGAGTTTTAAACCAATTAATTAAACATTGTTATCATCAATATCATATAATTATCTTTAACCGTCTTCCATTCAGTACACCTATTGTAATTTTGGTGTATAAAAATAGAAGCCTTGAACTTCTTTGCATTTATTGAACATACCACTTTTGAAATAGCTAGCCATCTAGCACATGCTTCAAAAATATATAGGCGTTGAAGAAATGTCTCATTTTAGGGATTTAGCTGTTACATGGAGGCCACCAATGAGCATGTTCATTAAGATTCAAAAGGATGTACCTGGTGAAAATCTAGCTACCAATATATTCTTATGCAACATTTTAGATCTACCTATACTCTTTCTAATGCTGATATGATAATGTCATGGATATAAGGAATGCGTAGGTCATGAGAATAGAATGGATGAAACAATGCTACAACATTTATGATTGTATGCAAAATGGGACACTAAAGGAATAGAAATTCCAATAACAGATCAAAATTCACAAGTAATAATCTATTGTAGATATAGTGTAATAAGGCTTAGATTGTGTTTTTTAAAATGTCAGACTGTTTTCCAAATTTTGACAACATTCTTTTATAGTCGAATCATGCTATTAGAATTTTATATTGGATACGTAAGAGCATGAACTTTTTAAAAAGGCATATGCAATTATAAAATTAATCAAACATTTCAGTTAAGCCTGCTAGAAGCAGAAGGAAAAAATTCTTCTAATTAAGTATTTTGTTTTGGAATATTAGACTGAGATTCAAATCTGGCTTCAATCTCATTTTTTCCCAGAGTAGCATTTAATTTTTTAGACACTATTCTGGGTATACTCAACAAAATCTGTGCATTTCATAAAGTAGTAGAAATTGAGGATTGTTGTATCTATTGCACTTATTTTGGCTGTGTTTTTTTTATTTGAAAGTAGAGGTTGTATATACAACCTTTTCATTTTTTTTAATATTCTTCATGATTACTTTTCATTTTTTTCAGTATTTTTCTACCTGACTTCTTATAAATTTACTTTACATAATTCTTACCTGTACATATGTAAACATAGCAGTGTATGATTCTTAACTGTGGAGTAGAGGTACTAAGAATACTCATGGCCATCTCTTTGTACAGGAATTGCATTGACTTTCAATAAACATGAAGCCACAAGTCCTTCACAATGTCATGTACCATATTATCTGTTTTGTATCTTAAATTTGATTTATACATATTATTTATTTCTGGTAAAACACACAGTTTATGCTGTACTAGGTATCTATTAAGCCATGTACAAATGTGATACGGTTAGCAATATGTGTTTACTTTAACCTTGTCTTTTCAAAACATTGCTCATTTAGTTTGTGCTGTGCAATGTAGATGGCCTCTTACTAATGTAAAATGATTTGTAGTGGAAACATTTATATTTTTATAATAAACATAATGAAAATATTTTTACAGATTGGAATACAGAATTGGTCTTTGAAGCTTTTTTAAAAATTACAAAAGTATGGCCTTTTTAAACAGTAATATAATGAAATTTATACGTTACAAAGAATGTGCTTCTCTTTTTTTCCCCTTCCATTAGTAAGGAAGGATTTATATGATGTAATCCACTTTTTGTGCCAATCTCATTATCAGTAAGCTAGTAAAAAAATCAGTAAATATGATCTTTATAATTAATAAATACAGCTATATCCGGCAGTGCTCTTTTGACTACTTACTAAAAAAAATTATCTTAAGGAAACAAGAAAATGCTTAGTTCATGTCATCATCTCCCAAATTGTACAGGTGCAGTTGTAACCAGAAATTAAAAAACAATTATTAGGATTATTCTCTCACTCTGCATCTTCTTCTTTTAACTGTGTTCTTCTCCAAACTGGGTTAATTTGCAAGCTATATCTTACATGATATAGTTAATATAATTGCACTCTAGTTAATATAATTCTACATTTCAGTTCCTGTGAAGTAATTTCTGTTACTTAATTATTCTAACAGAATACTGAGGTCTTCCTTGGGTCACAACCCCAACCTGGATCAGGTCAGGTAGGGAAATAATTTACTCAGAGTGGTAGGTACTCAGTACTGTGCTTGTCCTTGCAGATAGTGGATGGGCTTATATGGATGTGAGACTCTACAGGGTTTAAAGGTTTCAAAGTTGTTCTCATCCAAAAAAAAGAATATTGTCTATGAAAAGAATTAATGAATTCTCCATGGGACAAGTACTATGAAAATTTAAAAATGAGCAAACCATTACAAAAATTACAAACCACATGCTTTAACACTGAATATTTTGTATAAAATTAGACCCTTGTCATTTGTATTTCAGTTAGGAAAATGATTACCTGAAAATCATAAAAGTCATCTGACTATATAGGCAAATTAAGTTGAGTTATCAGGATTTCCACAGGGAGAGAAGTACTTAGGGAAAGGCCATAAGACAGGTCAGATCTGAGTTTGTCTTGAAGGATAAGTAACATTCTATCATGTTAAGTTGAGCAGAGAGTAATTTAGATTAGCTAAGTAAAGGGAGACTAGTGAAAAAGAATGTCTTCATTCATTTGCTAGGTAGGTAGTAAATACTGTTATGAGCCACGTAGTTTCTATCACCAACTATAAGTTACTTGTTTAAGTCATTTGCAACAATTCTATGAATAAGAGTTGTCCACTGCAATGGGCTGCAAAGGTCTCAGTGCACTCTTTCAAATCCCAAAGAAAGCACTTAGAAGACGCAGTGAAGATTTTTGGACATTTCATTATTCACATGCTTCTCGGTGGCAGTCAGTAGGCCAGGACAAAATAGAGAGCTGCTCCATGCCTATTAGAAGGGGAAAATAAATACAGGATTGATTGCATGCCAAGCACACATATGGGTTTCTTCAAATATTTTATGAATACATGACTTTCCTTAGAACCAAAGATCTTCTATTTTGATCCCCACCTAAATATTGGAGAAAAGGAAGGTGGAACATTTTCCTCCTTACCCTCCCTAACTCATTCTTGCGAGTTCTTCTTAGTTTACCTTCTGATCACTAACTCCTGTTTCTCCTAACGCCCACTTTTAATGGAGTTCGGACCCTAGACTAACAATGTCCAGATCATCTTCACTCTAGAACATAGAATACCCTAGAGTATAGGTTAACAGATACTTCAAACTAGAATTCTTCTGGTTCTGAATTATTTCTTTTATACCATTGTTACTAATCTGCAATATGCTCTAAGGACAGTGGCAGTGGCAATTTCCAAAAGGACTAGGGAAAGACTATAGGTTAAGTAAACTGTATGATTTTAGAAAACTATCCTGGTATTCTAGGTATGTTACTACACACACCAGAATGATTATAATAGGAATTTGAAAAATGGAAAGCATATAAAGATGCACAAAGAAAGGAGAATTAATAAAATTTAGCAACTTTATGTGAGAAATTTTGAAAAGTAGGAATCAACATATTTTATTTAGGAACAAAATTTAATCCTGAATTTGGAATAATGACATCATTAGCAGAAGAAAGGAATAAGGAGAAATTAACTTAGGATCATGAGTTTGTTACATTTATAGCACTAGCCCAATACAATAAGTTAATAGTTTTGGAAGGTGGGAATCTGAGGCTTTTGAAAAAAGACCACAATGCTAAAAATTTATGTAAAGATATCACTGGTAGAATATGAAGATCTGTATATCATTATTTGTGGCAGATACATATTCAGCTTGGACCACAGTTTTTAAGTTAACTGTAGCTCCTGTAATAAGTGCCAAAATATCATCCGCTTAGAGTAAAAAATTTGACACAAATTTTGACAAAGTATATGTTTGCTAGATGGATTTCTTTGTAATGATGTGGTGCCCACACTCTCTTCATAGTCTGTAAAACCTTGGAATCATTTGCCTCCAGCCAGTAAAGAGGAGGGGATGATAGCATGGGGTGGATTTTATGAACTCTACTTATAAGTGAATTTCTTCTTATATTCTATTGCCTAGAACCTAAATCATACTGCTATATTCAACTGAAAAAAATCATAAAGTAGTCTAATGTATTTTAATATAAAACAAAAGAGTGTTGAGTATTCACATAGAGACTCTGCTAAAACTGCCTTTTACTTTCATGTTGCTGTAGTTTGTATATGAGGTACCCCCAAAGGAACACACATATCCATACACCATAATTCCTACATTAATGCAAAATGTTCAGAGTTAAAAAAAAAAAAAAAAGAAATGGACTGTGATAGTTGTAAGCTAATGAGTCCATTCTATTTTGAGAGAACTAAGTGATAACTGCAGGTAGGTGTGGCATGGCTAGAGGAGGTTGGTCCCTGGAAGTATGTCTTGGAAGTGTTCATCTTCCCTGTATTTCCATCCCCTAGATCTCTAAGCTTCCCAGCCACCATGTCCTGAGAAGCTACTTTGCTTGGGTCCAACACAGTGGAGTCAGCCTACCATGGGCTAAATTTATAAAACCATGAACCAAAATAAATTTTCCCTCGGCTAAGTTATGCTTGTCAAATGTGTTGGTCACAGGGTTGGAAATGTGTCTAATCCATGGGTGTACTATCTGAGACCCAGGTAGTTCTAAAAGGCTTATGAGTATTATCTCATGCTAATTCCACTCATTTCTGATTCTCTATAGGCAGTCATTTTAACTCTTTTCTTTCATTACATGAATCTAATATGGCATCTGTGTCAGCTATGGAAAAGCGCCGCTTAGATCTTTCAAGACAGTTTATTGCAAAGAGAATTATTAGCTGGTAGCTCTAATTGCTATACTTTCAAAATCCCCAGCATAGTTTTTACCAGGCCATACTCTGTTTGGTTGATTCCAGTCAATGACTCAGCACAGTGGGAGCAGAGGAAGGGAAACATTTCTTCACAAATGCTTGATTCCTTTAACAAGCATTCTTCTGTCTCATGCTCTAATCAACCTGCTAAGACTTTATCAGAGGGGCATGCAGTCTGAACTCCTTATCCTTTGCTCTTTTCTTTCATAGGTACGTTAGCTCATTTATGTTACTGTACCAAAATTTAAGGGCCTTGGTTACTATAAACAATAAACACTTATTTCTCACAGTTCTGGACACAGGGAAGTCCAAGATCAAACCATCAGGATTTTGTGTCTCGTGAAAGCTTTCACCTGGCAGAAGGGGTGACTGCTGTATGTTCACATGAAAGAAGAAAGAAGGGAAAAAGAAGAGGAAGAGAAAGGTTGGGAAGAGAAGGGAAGGGGATGGAAGGGGAAGGGAGGAGAAGGGAGGGGAAAGCGGGGAAGGAGATCTCACTTTTTCTGTCCAGCCCTTTCACAAGGCTGGAGCCCTCAGAACTTAATCACTTCCCAAAAGGCCTTACTTTCTTAAAAAGACCACAGATGGGATTAAGTTTTAACATGTATATTTGGGACAAACTGAGACCATGATAGTATGAGTCAGAAAATTCCCCATGCTTTCTCTTCCTTTTCTAATGCTTCACATGCATTTCTCTTTTTTAAAAAAATTTTTTGTAGGTCTTATTCTTTATGTGTCTGCTTCTTTATGATCCTAGACTGAGACAACTCTGAAGTTTTAAACTAAAAGGCATCTTCATTTTTTCTCTGCCATCTCTTCCAAGCCTAACAGATCATTTGAACCTGGATCCTGCCTCAGGAAGGCTTCCTTCCATCCCTTTCCTTTGTCACCTACTACCATCTCTGGGGTCACTCATTGACTTGTCTGGATTACTGAAGGACTCCCTTAAACTATATCCCTGATTCCAGTCCTAATATCTCGAACACATTCTTCAACACTAATAGATTCTAGCAAGTTTAATTTTGCAGTTCCCCCTCAGGAGGCTCACAAACTCAAATGCCTCAGGGGCCTGGCAGGTTATATAAACATATGAAGCAAGTGAAGAGTATGTTGGCCCATAAAAACACCTTTCCTTCCTCCAAAAACAACTCAGTAGAAAGCAATACAAATCCAGTGTGAAATCCTGGTTTTTCGAGAGAATTCCTAATCTGAATTTTTGTAAGCATTTTTCATATATTTTAAATGTGATAACATCTAATAATGAAGAAAACATTCATGAGCTGAAGTTCACCTATAACTATAAATCTTTTTTTTTTTAATTTCTAGAATACAGAATACCCTTTGGTATGGGCTCATGAGACCTGTCTTGAATAAAATCTTGCTTATCTCCTTGTTCTTCCATTTGTACAGAACTTGCTCACTTTCTACACAATTGTACTAAATCCCACGTGCTTCCCTGAATATGCCACAGTTTTTTCATCATATCACAGCCTTTGACTTTTCTGTTTCTCTATGTGAAATCCTTAGCAAGATCTATTTATTCTTCAGCTCTAATCTCCCCAGCATTGGGTCAGATGACTTTCTCTTGTATGACAATATAACCTTGTGCTTACTACCTTATACTAAAAGTACCTGTACTCTAAGTCTCATGGCCACTCCTACCAAGGGTACTTTAAACAGAAACTGTGCCTTGGA